GCAATGAGATAGAAATGGTCTTTATTATAATAAGGGGTTGAGCTAGACGAACATATCCATTTGTCAAAATCATAGAGTGAAGATTTGTGCAGTTCAATGCATATAAACTTTACCGGGGGGTGGGGGGAAATGAAGCGGAGGGGTGTGGAGAGGTCAAGTGGGAGGAAGGATGGATGAAGTCAGAATGGCAGATGTTGGTAACTGCTGCAGCCGCGTGCTGGGTGTAGGAGGGTCGTTACATCATTCTTTTTACTTGTATATTCTTGTACATTATTGTTATCTCTTAAATGACAACTATAATAAAACAAACTTAATTAAAAAAGTGAAAGCATAGAATGCACAGTGACTTCACGTGCTTCGGCTCCGGGCCTTCCAGAATGAAGACGCGACCTGCCAGGTTTCTTCTCGCCCGCTCGCCGTTCACATACTCCTGCAAGGACCGTAGGATCTAGAGGCATCTTGCCAAGACTTGTTGGAAAATGCCCCCCCTCCCCCCGGGCATTGCTGTCATGTGAGGACAAGATTCGCTGGTACCAGGGATGTGAGAGCTTCTGACAGTTTGTCCAGGCTTCTTCCTTGAACTGATACTTCCTCAAGGTGACCTGTTGCCAGCAGGGCCGCATCTTTCCATCCTCACCTCTGTGAGCAGCTGGGTGGGAGGGGCAGCCTGGGCTGGGTTGCAGGGTTGAGCGCCCGGTGTTTTCCCTGCTCGGTGGTCCCTGCTCTCGAGACGAGTCATGTGTTTAGAGCAGCGTCTTCTACTCCTGTGGTGTGGGGTTATACCAGTTTCTCGATTGGGCCTCTTCTTACGCCATCGTTACCAGTGTCAATTCTGGTTTGCTGATGAGCCCCTGTTTGTAAAGTTTTCTCATTTCCCCCCATAACAGAGCAACCCTCAACAAGCTATGTCAGGAATCCTGCAATTCTCGCAGAAGGGAAGAAGGAAGACAGCCAGCTCGCCAAACAGCAATGTGGTCGCCAGGCCACAGCCTCCATTGTGAAATTCAGATCTATGCAGTGACTGAGGGTGCAGAAACTGGAAACCCTTCCAGGGGAGAAACCTGCACCCCAAGTAACAAGGAAGGATGCCGGTGGGTGGGAAATGCTCCTTCTCTAACCCCACGGAGCTGGTTAGATCTCAAGTCTTACGATGCTGCAGGCTGGCTATGAATGATCTTATTCTTCCAAGGGTCTGTCCTTCCTGCCCACTCTCCCTCATCCCATCCCTAGTAATCCTCCTCGCAATGGAACCTTCCTTTCTGGCTCCACCTGAGTTGGCATCATGCATTTTAACACAGGGATTCTTCACACCTCAGGGAGGGTGCTTGCTCTTTGTTAATGTGAAAAAATACAAGAAAGTTAAAAATAAAAAACAAAACGTTAAAATACATGTGTAAATTAAGCATTGAAAATGCGGGACCAGCAGATGGTGCAATGGTTATGTAGTTGGACTCCCATGTAGTTGACCACGGTTCAAGTCCTGGACCTGGCGGCTTAAAACTCACACCAGGCATGTGTGCATGCATTCCCAAAATCCTGAGAGGAGAATGGAGGAGAAGCGATTGCAGTATGGCCATCCCTCTGGTGGGGGAGGGTGATTTCTCTGCTCTCTCTCTCTCTTTCTCTCTCTCTCCAGCAAGCACACACACACCCCTATAGCAAACATCTCTCCAAAAAAAAAAATTGAAAACTCATACCTCCAATCTCATTCACACCCTCTCCAGTCCCCTCACTCACAAATAACCACTGCAAACAATTTCGCCCACTCTTAGCATCTGAGTTTTTTTCCTTCTTTCTGTACCTTATGGATCGGAGTGGGGAAAATAAAGGGATGAACCTCAGGAAGTAAGGGGAGCCTCCCGGCTGCCCCTGCCCTACCTCTGCCTCAGCTATTTCAGGCCAGCTGTGTCTGGAGGCTGAGCTGGAGGGGCACCGTACCAGGGGTTCACTTGCCCTGGGAGGTGCGTTGATCCTGCCATGGGAGGGGGAGTCTCACCCGCACTGTCAGGAGAGACAGCAGGAGGAAGTGACAGGGGCGAGCAGGCCACGGAGCAGACAGTCCTCATTGTGGCAGACTGCTCCTCTCATTTCTGTGACAGAGTAATACCGAGTCCCAGGCTGCGACCTTTCCTCGGGCCGTGATAGAAGTCAGACCTGCTTCCGTCAGGAGGCATCACCGGAAGACTTCATCATGCACTGCACACGTAAGGTGACCCCGCCAAGTGCCAGAGGGAAACGGATAGGCCCATCCCGCTCCTAGCCAGACGGCATGCAGCCCAGAAGGGCCGAGGCAGAGGATGGCACAGGCTGGGAGGGAGACCTGCTGCTGCCCTGCACACCCACCCCCACTCCCAGGAGGGACGGCAAAGCAGGCCAAGGCGGAAGGCCTGGCCCTGGGCTGCACTGGACTGGGAATGAGAGCAGGGTGATACCCTTCACGTGTGCCTCCCTGCTGAGCTGCTGAGGCCCCCTAACACCTGTAGCAAGTTACGGCCTGGACTCCCCGGCTTGAGGCCTAGCGGAGCTCAGGCAATCCTTGAACTTGGGTTGCTCTGGACTTGAGAAGAACTCTAAGAAAGAGGTCCCGGAGAGTCTAGGGATTTGTCCAAAGTTACAGAGCCAACCCATGGGCCTTCCTGGACCCAGGGCCTCCTGTCCCCAGTCTAGTGTTTACACTGAGCGACTTGGCAGGAGGAGGGGAGAAGAGTGAAGAGGACAGGCTCCAGGTCATTTCAGGGGTGTCATCTTTGGCAGCAAAACCCTGGAGTTTTGGAAAACTCCAAGGAACCTTTCTGTGGACCAGTCTTCCCTGCGTTCGAACCCTCTGCTCTCAGAGGCTGCTGCCCTGGTCAGCCCTGCTCTGGAAGCCAGTAGGGGGCACTGTCGGTTCTGTTGATGCTCTGAGGGTGGGGAACAGCCTGGAGCTGCAAACGCTCTAGAAAATGCCTGGAGTCATCCAGACTGGCCTGAACCTGCGAGCTCGGTGTTCCCACTGACTCACTCGGAGACCTTGGGTGAGTCGAGTGTCCTGGCTGTGTCACCATGTACACAGCGCACCGAGCTTCTCATGAGGTAGCACTGTCACTCCCCCCATTTCACAGACGGGGACACTAGAAAGCAGGGACGTCGCACTCCCCAGGGCCTCTTCCAGCGCTGGCTCTGCAGGGTCCTGTGCTGCTTCATTGCTCCACATTCGTTTCCCCAGAGTCTGAGGAGACAGGGCGGAGTCTGTACCTCTTTCAAGGGTGCAGCCGGGCCGCCCAGGCGTCTTACTGCACTGCACCACGGGATCGACGCAGGCCTAGAGATTTCTGGCAATTCCAGGGAGTTTCTGGATCTTTCTGGATGCCTCTGCATTTCCTTCCTCCCTTGGCCTCTGAAGAAAGGGGGAAAAGCTGCTGCAGGAAAACTGAGGCTGTGGGATAGGCAAGAGCTAGTCTGCCAGGGCGCTTCCAGTCCTGCACCGACTGCGGACTTCCCTGACAGCCATGTCCTCTCCCCTGGAAGGGGAGCTCCCCAGAGGCAACCAGACGTTTCCCCAGGCTCTGAAATGGACCAGCACTTGGGGACTTTCCTGTAAGGGGAAGATACAGATGGCCCTGGTTGAGGGGTGTGTCCTCCTGGCTCTAGAAAAGACCCCTTCCCTCCCCAACCTGCCCTGACGGACACCAGCCAGGACACACGCTCTAAGGAATGTCCGCAATGGACCTGCACAGGCCAGACCCCCAACCTCCCAACGCCCTCCAAGCAAGGGGGACTGTGGCTTGCTAGACCCTTGCTGCTGTCAGGGCCCTGCAGTCGCCGCCAAAGAAGTCTTGATGAAGATGTGCAGTTTCTGCTCAGGAGAAATGTATCGGCTACGGGGAGAGGGCGGTGGTAGGTTCACCCGTACTCACGTCCCCGAGAGAGCGCTAGAAGCTCACGCCACGCAGGAATCTTGCTCACACTGAATTCACTACACAAGAAGACACTGAAAAAAGCAGATTAGAGTGAAGAGGAAGTATTTCAGAAAGTTCCTTAGAACTAAGTGTTGAGCCAGATACAAAGGCCACTCTGCCCATCCGTTCCCTACCTACCATCTTATTATTGTTATCATTATTTCTTTTTGAGAGAGAGGTTTTTGCTATAGAGCAAGTATGCTCACTGGAAAGACAAAGAGAGATAGAGAGACAGAAAGCGAGAAATTACCCCCCCCCCAGGGGGTTGACCAGCCCACAGTCCCTTCTCTCCCA